TTCAGAGGTTAGTCCAGGGTGCGGTTTGTGAGTTAACCGTGCCCTATATTCAGAGGTTAGTCCAGGGTGCGGTTTGTGAGTTAACCGTGCCCTATGTTCAGGGGTTGGTCCAGGGTGCGGTTTGTGAGTTAACCGTACCCTATATTCAGGGGTTGGTCCAGACGGGTTTTTTAATATTTTGATCAGTTAGTTACAGTTGTGTCCCGACTAAGACCTGTCCATAGCTAGCTCGTTTCAGGTTTCATATATTTGTGAGTTAGTTATGTCCAGACTTACACTAGCCAAGGGATTAATTCAGGGTTTGATATCTTTTATTTTATATTTTATATTTTATTTCAATTATTTTATTTATTTTTGTCTTGCTGTTAAACAGGCTAATGCCTTGGTTGCCAATGTCGGCTTTCCTGATTACATGCTGGACAGCAGAAGGATGGCTACGATATTCCAAAAGTACAGTGGCGTAAGTACATAATGTCGGTGTTGTCTTAGGGATTTCGTCTCATGGTACCTGATTTAGGGGGGAGGGGTGGTGTTACCCGGTACCTATCACCTCCGGAAGTAAAATCTTAAATTTTGTCCCCAAATATCTCCAAAACTAAAAGTCGAATCACATAAATGAATGGACTGTCTGTCTTCATGTATGCTAAACAAATATTTATACATAGAAATTGTCATCCCCAGTATCGAGCATTTGAACAGGTCTCTGAGGGGGGAGGGGGTGTGTACCGGTACCCACCACCTCCATTCATAAAATCGGGTCCACGCCCCTTATTCATTAAAGACTCAATTGTGACTTCTTCTTTTATCAGCTCGTGATCAGAAGTGGAACATATTTCAAAAACCAAGTAGCCGTCTTAAAGCACGAGCAGCAAATAATACTAAATAGTCTAAGAACGAGCCCAGATAGCACCTTGTAAGTATACAAAGGCTTACTAAGAGAAATATATTTTAGAGAGAAAAAAATGACTCTTTGGAGAAGGGGGGGGATCAGTTAATCTTCATAATGTCACAATAAATTCGTTCTGACCCTTTCCAAACCCCAATCGATAAATATGACCGATCATTTAGACTAAGGTCAAACGTTGGACTTCACTCGAGCCAAACCTAATAACATCAAAGAAGACTGCCTTGTTATCCATTGTTTCAATTAGGTTCGACTCATGGGAAGTTTGACATTTGACCTGAACCTTTAGCTAGTCTTTTATTCAAAACCGCAGCCGGGTTAGGTTCCCATTTCAAAAGTTATTTTTCTTGAAGTGCTGCTAGCAATTTTTGAGATTCTACACATAAATATAATTTCTTATTTAAAAAATGGTTTGGCTATCGTTTTCTCTATTTATTTTGAAAGATTTTACGGGTTACCGCTAAGTCGGCCTAGTAACACTGAGGGCTCAAGGACAAATGACACTACAACTTTTAAATATAGATACGAGTTATCACGAGTTAAAAAATATCCCAAAATGCAATCGCAATAATGTTTGAGTCCCCTTAACTGAAGACTTTATTGTTTTCTCAATGGATTAATCATATTTGCTTTTGGGGTTCCTTTGGATTTTATGGGATCTTCACGCCAAAGAGACCCTTTTCGATTTCCAAGTTACCGCTGTGTTCCTTGATTACAGACTCATTTACTCAGGGTTAGCCTCGAATCAGTGTCTAATTACTCGCAAATACCAACGGTAAAGTAAAGAATGCACAACTTCAACAATACAAACACTTTGAAACTTGACGGACCTCGACTGGAACACGTGAATTTTCTTCACAAAATCGAGGTTAAGTCTGAGTAAATGAGTCTGTAATCAAGAAACACAGCGGTAATTTGGAACTCGCACATACACATATGCGCCACCCTCTGCATCTTGCTTTAGTATGTTCATACTGTTTAGACTTGCATTATTACTTCTAACTTGTTTATTTGTTGTTTTTTTCCAGATGGTTTATGTCTCCTCTCCACGGAATGGCCGTTTACAAGGATAATCGATTGAGTAAGTTATATAAACTTGAATGTTTACATCCACATTTACATTGGAATGTCCCCTGAGACTCTTTTATTTTTGTTGAATAAAGCAATCCCAGCAGCCATCATCAAGTCACCACACTTATTTTCTAGCGCGTTACTAAGGTAAGCTAAAACTAATACGCAAGTGTGGCCTAGATAATAGAATACTAAAGCTATGGACACAAGGTGCAACATATGCATTGCGCGCATGATGTTGCGAGCCATGACACACGACGCAATTTGTTGCACGCAACGTTGCTGAAGTAGAAGACGATCCTACTTCAGCAACATTGCCTGCAATATTGCGCGCAATGTTGCACCGAGTGTCCGCGTCTTAACCATGAGTTTGATTTAGAAAAAAAGCACTACACTTTTGAGATTAGAGACGATTTCTTTGTAAATCATGCAATGAAACGCGGTAATTATCATTGCTAAAATGTTTTTCGAAATACAGTAAAAACCCGCATAAAAGAACAAGTGGGTTAAGAACACCCAGCCTGAATTTGGGCGTTTTAAGTACCATGTAAATAAGAATACAATCAGCCTGAAAAATTAAAAAGTGTTATTAACTAAAAAAAATAAGATCAATATTTATGCCTCCTCATCACTACTCATGTATACACTGATGTGGGGGGGAGACGGTTTAGATTACAGTGTTAGTAGTAGCAGACTCCAAGCCTGACCTGACAATAATTTATTTTTCTACTGTTTTGATACAGTTATTATTATACACATTGATATCATCTACATGTACTGGTAGTCTATATAGTAATACTGTATATATTTTAGAAACATTTATTTTAAGAACACCTTAATAACACCTTCAGGCTGATTTTTCAGTAAACACCCGTTAGATAAGAACAAAATCAGCCTCAACTCCAAAAATGGGTGTTCTTTTTATGCGGGTTTTTACTGTATTACGACACACGGCGTACGATCCAATTGTCTAAAATCATTTATGCAAGGTTAGCCTGCATATTGTGTGTTAGATTTACGTGTTCCAGTAATGATCCACAAAGTTAAAAAAACTGCGCTGACTTATTCATTATTTTACTTGCAGATCTTATAACTTGGGTCATTTGGGTTCCATTATTGCTTACCAAATCGTGTGGGGTATTGGCGACATCGGTGGTAAGTTATTAATCGGTTTGGGACCTAGAGTGATTTTTTATTTAACTCGTTAAAGAAAAAAAATGGATTATTGGCGCGGGCAAGAGACTGTGCAAAACCTCTCTCTGATTCCGTTAAAAGTAAGAAGCTTGGTAACTGATGACGTGATGTGTTTGTTTCCCAGGTGGATCCAGTAAAGTTCCACAAAAAACTGTCAATGGATTCAATACAAGACAAAAATGTTTAGCAGACCAATATTCCGCGTACAGTATGTTTGGAAGATGGCCTGTAAGATATAATCGGATACAGTCAATTCAAAAAACGTTGTCGTCGACCGGCTCAAGCCTACGCGACTGGACCGAAAGGAATATGGGTAAAAATCACTGAAGCGGTTAAATATTCGTTCTGAATTAATTGTTCCCGCTAGTAATAAGATAATAATGGCGAGAAACAATCCATCAAATGCATGTCTTTGGGTTTAGGGAAAGAAAAACAAAGAAGTTATGATTCAGTTCACAATTTTGAAAAATATGAAGGCATTAAAAAAAGTCTCCTTCAACACTTCCCGCTCGCCTACGAAGGTTCGTGCTGTAAACAAGGCATAACTAGTCGGATAAAATTATGGAGTCAACTCGGCTTCAGTGATTGCTACCCAGAGTTCCTTTCGGTCCAGTCGCGTAGGCTTGAGTTGGTCGACGACAACATTTTTTGAATTGACTGTATGTCAAATGTGCTATTCCTCAAACGTTTACGATACGCCTATTTAAATAAACGTTGTCATTGCCAAAGGCGATAGATTATTCCGACAGGATGGAAATGGCTTCGTTGAATACAAAGAACATTGAATCAATCTCAACACTAAGGTCCATGTTCTTGACGAGAATAAGAAGCAGTAACACAAGTCATTCCAGCTATTCTTGGATCTTGGAATGACCTAATGCTATTCGCCTATTGCCTATGGCTTTTGGCGATGGTAGCGTGTTTTCCAAATAGGTTTACAATAATATGTACGTTGATAACCATGATAATAATTGAATGTCCTTTTATTAGATTAATGGGAAGGATACAGTTAAAGGGAATGCTGCAGACAACGGTGCTTTAAAAATGGCACTTAAGGTACTACAAATGTATTAATCAAATAACAGCATGCAGATATAACTGAAAAAAATGACAAAAGTTCCTTGTTGAGAGCGCGGAACATGGGAAAAGGAAAGCTGTATATATTTCAACAACCCTTTATCAAATTATATAAATATATATGATAATAAGAACATGTGTAATAGGTAAATTACGAGCCTTAGATGAAACGACTGAAGAAGAGTGCCATACAAGCCTTTCACAACTTCATGTCGTGTAAAAAAAGGGCCAACTTAACTAGAAACTGGCTTACTGCTTCATCTATCTAGTACTACTTTTTCGTGGGATTGCCAGCTCACTAGATACACTGTGCTGACGAGGCCCAATACAGGCCGAAACAGCCGTCCACGGTTTCTATTTGAGCTGGCTCATTTTTTACGCGAATTGAAGTTGTGAATGGCTGGTATAGCATTCATCTTCAGTCGTTTCATCTAAGGCTCGTAATTTACCTATTACGCATGTTCTTATTTGATATCCGAGCCCATCCCACACGGCTTACTGTCTCATCTATATATAATAATGGTGTGTAAGTGAATAAAACGAGTATAAAAGTCCCTGTTTGCTGCGCCAACACTGAATCCAGAATCGCCGTTTGTATAGCAAAAACGGCTAGCTAGAATAAAAGGTCGACAGATGTTTTTCACCGACGACAAAATCTTCTTTAGTAGGAGCAATAAGCCACATTTTCCCACACTTTCGTTCACACAAGTTTGTAATCAGTAGATATTTTTCAGGCGTATTACAACCGCAGGGAAACAACGCGTCTACAAGGACTGAATTTATCCAATGAGCAGCTGCTGTACGTTGGATTTGCCCAGGTTAGCATCAAGTCTTTTGTACGTTTTCTATTTTTAGCTTCCGAAATTCCTATGTCGTAGTACACAGGCCTTCACTCATTCGGCCCTGGATATGAGAAAACATTAAGTTGTAAATGGTCGCTCACTCGAGTGTTTCTCTGCTCTGTCCTCTTCCCTCGTGTTAGGACCGCCACCATTAATCATGGCAGCCTGTGTAAAACCACTTTCCCGCAGAGAAATAGTAACTCTCTCTCTTTTAGGTTCAAATGTTAATAAGTGTTTCTATAACTCATATTTTTACCATAACTTGGAAATTTCTCGCGCGCTGATTGGCTTACAACCATTGTCGATTAGAGGCTAGACCTGCTTGTGCTTACGACATCCGTCATGCGCACTGAGCGAAGGGATGAAACGGCTTTTTCAAACTATTTACTTGTCTTTTTGTTCAATTTCTTCCACTTTGTCATGGTATGACTCGCTGCGCTCGTGGTTCCACTTGAGTTTGGATCATTTTTGACGTCATCTCATGTTCGATTACAGTACAGACCCATAAAAATCTGACTTCGATTTGTTAATTTGCTCGAGGATCGTTAAATACTTAACTTTATTGTCAGTATACTTCTGTGATGTTAAAATATACTCAATGATCTGCTCACTTCTTATTGCTATACGCAGGCTCAATGTAGTTCCACTAACGCTGATTTCCGAAGCAGAAATCCTGGCGCAGGTACTGATTTTGTAGATTCAAAAACCAGGTATGTTTACTGGCTTAAGAAAATGTTGAAATTACCCTATAACGACACGAGTGAAAAACGTATGCGCATGCTCTGAATCCGTATGCAAATTAGTCAAAATGTATGTAAATTTGACTTTCAAACATGCCTGATAAATTGGACTTCACAAAATGCCAAAACTTAGTGTCCATGCTTGAAACCTAAGGCTAATTCTTTCATGTTGTATTTGTTTATACAGTATCTAGGTCTGACAATAGTATATTCACCATTTTTGTTGTACACTCGATTGCAGAAACGTTGTAGTATACATTTATACATTTATACAAATATCTAATGAGATGCATAATGCAAAATAACCATTTCCAGCGCTTAAAACCAACTGATTTATAATCTGTACGATCTAATAGACAAGAAAAAATATTTTGACAGTCATTGAATGAAACAAACAATAAAGCAATTTTTCTGTTTTGCATATCATTAAATATACTGAATAAATTACTGAAAATTCTTAGAAAACGTGCTGAAAGTCCCCTGCAACTGGAATGAACCAACATTTTATTGCATGACCTTTTGCTCGATCATTTTAACAGGGTTATTGGTTCGTTGGCAAATTCCGGAGAATTCTCCAATGCATTCAATTGCAGAAGGGGCAGCCCATTGAATCCGATCAAGAAATGCTATCTGTGGAGTAAAGACGGACTATTGGTCTAACAATATGGTTTCACTTTAAATCTAACAATTCATTAACATACCAACCTGCAATCTCTGGATATGTTTGGTATTAAATAGAGTAGTTAATTATGATCAAATAAAATGATCAATGATCAGTGCATTGGAAACATGTCCAGTGTCTTGTTTTAATAGGCCCTTTGCAGCTCAGTAATCACGTGCTGATTAATTCACTGAGAGCAAAGGGTCGGTGTCCACTGGTAGAACGAAGCTTGTTTTATCTCACCATTCATTGTTTGTTCATCCACTCCCAGGCTTCGTTCTGCCTGTTGTGTGCTACCAGGAGCAAATGAATGAACATCTTGATTCCCATGGGTGAAATATACTGGTGAGCAAACAAACTTTCTACAACCTGTTTCGAGAGATCGTAATAAAACTGCATTTCGTAACACGCTGAATACACATCTTTTCATTCGGTTCTTTACAAGTAGCTAAAAAGAATCACCAATTTAATATATAAAAACACGTCGCGTCGTGGTTTCCTACGCTCCTCTCGTGTTCTCCCAACATCCCGCGTGTTTTGATCAGAGTATCAAACACGGAAAACTGTTTTTGATCTGTTAAAAAAAAAAGTTTACGGTTGCAAGCGTTGCTAGGCAACTGAACTACCAATCATACTCAAGTAATTCGGCCCCGCGAATTACGGAAAAATTCCTCCTTTATTAGCCAATAAGCATCGAGTAATTTTGCCCTGTATGTAATAAGGCTTGTTAACGTCTTTCTTGACGTTCTTTCGAAATTGAGAATCAAAAACTATCAAAAGCAAATTTTGGTTTTCCGTGACGTCAGACGTCAAACTTCGGTACTCTATGCTCAGCGGTCATACACCACACGAGTATATAAACAGTGAGAAACCACGTTCTGTACCCAGCTGCTACGTATGTTCCTCTTCGGTAACTTGATTTTAACATGGCTAAGCACAATACAGAAGTACAAGTTCCCGTACTCCCCGATGTCCCAGTGAGTCCAATTGTTGGTCAGCAAAACCAGGAAAACGCAGACCAAGACCTCCACCACCAGTACAAGAAGAACTTGTGGTAACATTCCTGTTAATTTGTCGGGTTTTTTCGATACTTGCCGAGTTGTATTAATGTTCGTGGCATGATTAGCTGTTTTATCAAGCTTTAGCTCAAATTTCCTTACGGTGGCATTAAATTTCCTTCGGTTTGTACGTTTTGTAGTTCTAATAGTACTGTTTGCTAGTCAGTTGTTGGTCATAACCTTATGCTATATTTTGATTGCCACTGTAACTTCTGGCCATTCGTTTACAATATTTATTTACCAGTTGTGTTTGGTCACGAACTATTTGGCTCGGCCGTATGGCTTTTTGTCAATGCATGCTTTTTGGTTTTGTTTTATTGTGCACTCCGTGGTTTAACTTTGTCAATACTTTTGCCTCGCGCACTCTTTCAGTTCCTTGACCATCTCTCTGCTGTTCTGGCTTCGTTAAAATCTTTTCTGGGCCAGTTTTTGTTTGTCATGAGATGTTTGGCTTAGCTTTATTCATGACTTTTGTGATTTACGCATGCAGTCTTTTGCTATATATGCGTTTGGTGTGATTACACGTGCACTTTGTTATGCGGACTTCGCTAAAAATCTATTCAGAGCCGGTCATTGTTTGATATGCTTTGTTTTGCGTTATTCATGGCTTTTGTGTTTTTACGCCTGGGCCTGGTTGTACAAAGGCTGGATAGCGCTATCCGGCGGATAAATCCTTATCCAGTGGATTGATGGGTTGCAAGCATTCCCGAGAGAATTAAAAGACAAAAGCATGGTGGCCATTGTGGTGCCGTTAACAATGGATGGTAATCTTTTGTTAAATGATACCAACATGGCCGCGATGACTTAACGTGCAAACGAAGAATAAGTCGATGCTGTTATCCAATAGAGGATATTACATGGGCGCGCGGAGATACGAATTTTATCTTCGAGTGTTCAATTGATATCTCACGAGTGAGCGCAGGCAATGAAACTTAAATAAAACAAAAACTCAAAAATTCTTTATTAAAATAGCAAGCCGATTCAACAGTGATATCTTCACGTGTGAAAGATATGGTATCTTCCACTGGTGAAAGATATCAAGTTTTCGACACTAGAGAAAACCTGGTATTTCATCCATATCTATATAACAAATGAATTTATCTACTGGATACGATTTATGCAACGGATAGCGCTATCCACACTTCATACAATCGGGCCCAGCAGTTTTGCTGTGCGTTTGTCATTTCATTTGCACGTTTTCATGATGGCTTCGTTAAATCTTTTCAGGGTCAGTTTCATTTTGGTTCAGTTTGTCGTGATATAATTGATCTTATTTCCATTAAGAGCGCAGGAAGATACCTTCTACATTCAAGCTATAGCTTCGAGATAATTATAGCACAATAGACCCGTTTCGAGTTCTCAATTACCGCTGTGTTTCTTGATTACAGACTCATTTGCTCAGGCTTAGCCTCGATTTTGTGAAGAATATTCATGTGTTCCAGTCGAGGTCCGTCAAGTTTCAAAGTGTTTGTATTGTTGAAGTTGTGCATTCTTTACTTTGCCGTTGGTATTTGTGAATATTTAGACACTGATACGAGGCTAACCCTGAGTAAATGAGTCTGTAATTAAGGAACACAGCTTTAATTTGGAGTTCGAAACTGGTCTATTAAATCACACGCGACTGGGTTATGGTTATGCGCCATTTTAAAGCCTTTTTTAACCACTGAACATAGGTTATTATTACATTCATTGGTGATATTCATAGAGTGATCAGTATATTATTTTATCCTTGTGAATTCGTGTGAAAATACTTTATTTTTGATCTAAATATAAAAAGTCCCTAGTAAGTTAATCACCACTGAGTTAAACTAAAAGCTAAACTAAAACCTGTATAACAGGTTTTTGGAAGGCCAGTATGTGAAAAACTATTGTCAACCAATAGAGGTTTTTCGCCATCACGTGTCCACGCCCATAATACAGCTTGGGCTGCCGCTGGTTAGATGGCAGAACAATAAAATCCCTTTGCTCTTGGGAATTGACTTCTTTCTCATGTAAAACGATTGTATTGTTCACGCCATCTAACAAGGCTGCCGTCACGTGATGACGTGATGACGCATTCCCACAAGCGTACTCATAAAAGTTATCGCAACGGTGCACGGCCAGGTTAATCGGACTTCTGATTTGATTGGCTACGTCAATACTACTCAGTTGAGCTACAAACATTGCTAGATTGAGTGCTGGTCTTGCTTGTTGTCTTAGTATATCTCGGGGATCGAATCTTGTTCAAACCTTGATAAAGAGAACTCATCTTGTTCTGAGTTGCTGCTACGTGGATCATGGATATCGAGGACCAGAAACGAGGACCATAGATTATCGACCATCGCTTGCCTGCATTCATCATTCTTCCCATTATGACTACACTGATTCTTGCTGCTTTTCTGTAAGGGTGGTAGAGTGCTCTTCTCATCGAATAGTGTTGACTAAAACTATAGGCTGTTTGATCAAATTGTTTAAATTTATTTAGGCCGGAATTTTTTCTTTACCGGTAACAAACGTCTATCCTACCTGTTCAATAATGCCGCTTGTCACGGAACTTCATTTTTCTCAAATTCCATTCAATTCACCATTTTCCATACATCAGTTCACTGGTCAAACACAAAGCATTCAGTCGAGGTTGCAAGGTTCAAAATTGGATAATCCTTTGAAAGTACCTTGGCGCCTCGCTTGAGTGCTTTGTGGTTGACCAGTGAACCGATGTATGGAAAATGGTGAATAGTTCCTTCCCCCTGTAATGGCTACCATCACGTGATGGTGCAAAGCCTCTATAAAATGTTCTAAGTGACTTGCGTTTATCCCACGGCATAGAGTGAAGTTATTCAGTAAACCCGTGAAATAGATATTTGACTAACACACATTAGTAGACCCTAATTCCATATTGTTTTCTATTGTGTTTATTTGACTATAACACGTCGACTAGTATATCTTGTTTCACGGGATAAATGCCTTCACTCTATTAGATCATAACTGTAAGAAAATGGTATCCTTTTTCACATCACATGCGCCAGCTAATGTAGGAGAATACTTAAATGATCATAAGAAATAAGCCGGATATCGAATGATATGAAGAATGCTATAGTTATTGGACATTACTAGCACAACAAGGTGCAAGGAGTTGGATAGAAACCGAGAAGCTAGAAACTTCAAAAAGAATTTCAAAGATTATTAGCACTAGGATTAGGATTAGAACACGAGGATCGACCAGATACCAAAATAGCCATCAGCGCTCGATAACGTTAAGATGGCGTCAGAGGCGAGCTCTGTTTCCTTTTTTCAACTCTGTGTTACACATGATGTCGTCATGTATGCCATAATGGAAAAAACAGCATTAATATTTTCTCTTCAAAAAAACCTTAAATTCATGTAAAACAAATACCAATTTTAACAGACTTGGAGTTTGAAAACATTCTTCCAAATACTTAAAAAAAGGTTCTTACATTGCCTAATGAAAATACTATTTGGACACTTTGAACTTGACAGAAAAAGTCTTGTAACTGACTGAAGGCGCTGTTTTTTTTAACAGGTAGAAAATGCGACCCATGTGCTAGCCTCGTGCAACAACAAATTACCTCAGTGAAACAATTTATATCTATCTACCATTCATAAACTTTATATTTATCATTTTACATTTTAAAAAGAAAAGTAAAGTAAAGTTCATAAAAAATATTCTTTACAAATAGTTTGCTATGATGTGTTAAATCGAGAAATCTACGAAAGTCTTATAGCTGATCATTTTCCGTCTAGAATGAAAGGCAAAACAAAAGCCATTGTAGACGACAAGGGAAAGAAGAAGAAAAAAAACTGTACGATTCTCATAAAGGACTTTGGATCAAGTGGAATGCGTTGTCTGGTTGGTTTTCGTAACAGCACCGCAATCGTTACTGACAATTGTAGCAAAAATATTGATTAAAGTGCCTATCACCCTTCTGACAATATTCACAGTATTGATTCTACATAGGGTAAGATGTGGAATAACCGGAAATATTTCATAGTTTGAGTGCGGCTTCTTGAAATTATAAAGGTTTTTCCATGCCATATGCTCATGCTGTGACGTATGAGGAGTAATCATTTAATATACAAAACATTACTGGCACAGATAAATATAATTTGGAATGCGTCATTGTTTTTCCTATTGCTCTTATCGAAATTATTGCAAGTTAGTTTTCACATAGAAGCCGGTGTTTTGAATTACGAGGAACAACAAATAACCATAAATGCCTCCTCATACGTCACAACATTAGCATATGGCATGGAAAAACCTTCATAACATCAAGAAGCCGCACTCAAACTATGAAATATTTTCGGATCATTCCACATCTTACCCCATGTAGAATCAACACTGAGAGCATTGTCAGAAGGGTGATAGACACTTTCAAAGTTACGATGTATAATAATAATCAAAAACTTTACCATAAAGAAAATAAAGGAAAAGCAACCAAAACGTAGTGTAAGAGATTGGAACGCACCTGCAGGAATTCTCTATGTACGAAAAAAAATTATGACAAGAGATGAATGAAATTCGATAACATTAAAAAAGCTCTTTAAAAGATTTTTGACTTTCAAGTAGGGTACACGTTTGATTTACCGGTAACCATAAGACCGTAACTATAAAGAGTTTGATCAAACAACAACTTGATCGAACAGCCTATAGTTCTAGTGAACACTATTCCAGTGAGAAGAGCAGCTAGTATCCTAACAGACAAGCATCAGAAATCAGTGCAGTCGTGATAGGGAGAATGATGAATGCAGGCAAGCGATGGTCGTTAATCCATGGTCCTCGTTTCTTAGCAGTCTTACTGGTGATATCCATGATCCACGTAGCAGCAAGTCAGAACAAGATGAGTTCTCTTGATCAAGGTTTGAACAAGATTCGATCCCCGAGATATGCCAAGACAACAAGCAAGACCAGCACTCAACCTAGCAATGTTTGTAGCTCAACTGAGTGTATTGACGCAGCCAAAAAAATCAATAGTTCGATAAACCTTGCCGTGGACCCTTGCGATGACTTTTATGAGTACGCTTGTGGGAGATGGCCGACAAACAATATTCGGCCGCCCGGCTACCCGTTTTATTCTGCATATGCTATAGCCGAATTGAAAACGGAGAAATATAAGAAAAACAAATTAGAAAAGGGAAATCTAATAGTAAACGGAGCGAGTAATGAAGTACGGCAAATGCCATCAGATTTGTACAAATCGTGCATGAACGTAACGGCCATCGAAAATCTTGGTGACGCACCTCTGAGAGAACGTATTAGAGAACTTGGAGGTTGGGACATGAGCGGAGACTGGGACGAGAATACGTGGGATTTTAGCAACACCCTTCTCTTGATTCATAAAATGGAAATGAAAGGGCCGTTGTTTACTTTAGGATTCGTACCAGCTGGTATCAACAAAACAATCTGGGTATGTACCCCGATGCCGTGTTTAACAATAAAATGTCAAGCAACCTTTTACCAAAAGCAACATTTCAAAAATGTTATATTCTCGACTTTCACATTCCCATAATTCCTTGCGTTTTTGGGGGGTAACCAATCAAAAAACTGTCACAAATTGAAAGGTTTCTTAGTTAAATGTATACTATACCTGCTTTTATCTGTACAATACTGATTATCAGTTTATTCCAAGTTATTTTTGCGTGTACAGATCATCAAGAGTTTTGGTCTTAAAGAAAATGTATCGACTTACGAAAAAATGTTTAAAATTAACCTTAAACGTCTTCAAGCTTCTATCTTTTTCTGTTTTTTACTTCTTCATTTTATCTTTGGATAACAAACAAGGTATTTTCAACATTGTCTGATCAGCCTTCAGCAAAATAAGTGGGTTTTTACCCTCTGGTTACCCCCCAAAGACGCAAGGTATTATGGGGATGTGAAAGTAAAGAATATTTTTTCTTTTAACTATACAGTTAGTTTTAATGACTGATTGGTACGTACTTTTTGTTCTGTTCCTGCAGATACGTCAAGMTGGGCCATCTCTAGTGAAAGAACAATATCTAAATCTATCATCAAAGGTGCAAAGTCCTATTTTTAATTCTTAATTAAATTCTGAGATTGGAGTAACTGTGAGTTTTGGTAAATTTAGTTCATTTAGTGACGTTTGTTTTGATTTTCTATCTGTAAATATAATAAATAGGACTACATGATTTAGTATAGTTTGATTCTTAATGATTGTAAAGATTGTAAAGCGCATTAGATCATATATTTTAATGATTTTTTGGCGCTATATAAGTAATAAAATTATTATTATTATTATTAAGACACATTAAGTATTATTCTTTTTCATGCGTACTAAGTAAGGCATGTTTATTTGTTTTCTACTTTCTAGTCTAATTCTGTTTATAATGGCATTTATCGCTCAAAAAGGGAAACCAACAGCCAAATTCAGCTCCTGTTGTTACATACCTTGTGTCAAATTCCAGTTTTCTATCTCTTCTCATTACGTGATCGTCATACCATTTCATTTTTTTCCCGGAAACCGTTTCAATCAGTAAACAACAGATTTATTAATATACCAACTGTCAAAGTCCATTTTTCTTGTACTCTGATTGGGCTCTAGGATATCACCTGAGCCTGAAGAAGTTTTACTTGTTTCCCCGGCAACGGCTCTCAGTGATAACAATACCGGAAGTGATTTCTTCGGAAATCAAAGTTCTTTTAACGTTTTTAAAATCTAATACTCAAAACGCCTCGAAGACATAAAAGTACTCGGCGCGTTTTTAACAGCTGTTCAGTGTTTTAGTGGAACCACGATGAAATACGAACCAGTGAGTTTTCGATCTGTTAACGGAATATTTTGTTTTCCTAGACAATGTTAGCGTACAGACAGCTGATCATTGATGTCGTGCTTGAGTTGGGTGGCAATCTCACCTCGACTGCCAGGAAAGCAGACGAGATCATTCATTTGGAAGCCCAGCTTGCAAACGTGAGTGAAGATGATTAGAATCATCATCACCATCATCATCATCATAATCATATTAAAAAATGGCATATATATATAATGGGTTTAAAAAAATCGGAACAAAAAAGCTTTTAATTGACTTTTAGTCTAACTTACTTTTTTCTCTTGTTAGGTATCTTCAACATTTGCAGAGCACCTAGCATCACTAAAAATCAACCGAACTCTTGAAAAGCTTCAAGTAGAAGTCCCTGAGGTGATTTGTGGCTCATTCCTTCATTCATAACACTTAAAATTTGCTTTTAAAAAATGTGTGCTCGTAACCACTGAAAAAGTACGTTTTGCCATAGTTAACTATGGTTTTGCTTATCGGTTGTGTTTCCAGCGTCGTGGTTATTTCAGTTCGGCTCATCGATTCATTATTAGCATATACCAACTTGTGTACTTCCTAAGAACGCGCGCTCATTGGTTAATTGGAGGTAAATATTGTACGATAGTCATCTATGAATCTCAGAATATTGAGTCGGCAACAAAATGGCATCTGCCGGCAATCGTTTTGCTACAATTTCCGATGAGGAAATTGAAAAAATGAAAGTAAATGCCATTCCTATCAATACTAAAAAGGCAATGAAGTATGGCCTAAAAGTTTTTCAAGGTTAGTAACTTTTAAAAAGTTATGTAAAATAAGAAAACAAGGATAAAATATATAAAAACAAAAAGTTTCTGTTTGTTTGCTTTTATTGAATTATTGTATATAAAAATAAGTTACTCTGTACACAAGTTGGTATATGCTAAAACAATTATTCGCCTCAGGCTCAGTGAATATATGGTGAATATTTACCTTGTCGCTTCGTGACTCGGTAAATAATCACAGACATTCACTTCGCCTTCGTCGAATAATTGCTAAATATAAGTTAGCTGTGACAAACTAGCTATCTAGCAAGTGAAGACGAGAACCAGTTTTTGGCTATCAGCTGAAAACGGAGACTGACTAGTGCTAGGGGAAAGCTGCAAAATGACTTGATGTTTCTTGCGCTAAAAAGATTGTATCCCCCAAAAAAGTTCTTTATTAGATCCCAGAGTCAAGAAGGTTTTTTTAGAATAAATGAAAATCAAAAAAAAGGGATTTAATTCGGCAAATGCAATGGCAGCCAATGGTTTGGTCGGACATTTTCACATGAACCAAACAACTTCAAAATGCATGACGTGACGGGATTTTTTTAATTTCACAAATATTTTCAATATTTTTAAAAATATGTTTTTGAAATCCGAGTTTTGGACGCAAGAAAGTAAAGCTTAACCGCCATGAAAAAACTCGAAAAATTGCCTATCTTGCTAAATTGTATGGGTAAAAGTTAGGGATCTGGGAACCAGTTTTAAAACGCAGATTTGCCAAGGTCACATGTATTGCAACCATTTTAATTTTAATGGTTTTGCTATAAAAATAATCAGCTGGAAAGCTTGTTTTTCTCTCTCGCTCTCGCCCAGTAAGAAAACCTCCAAAAGCCAGCAAACGCCTATTTTATTATCAAGTACATCTCTATCTAAACTACAAGTAAGGCTCATTTAACTATATACATATATTTTGTACTTTGTATAGCTGAACTGGACTGACTACATGAACAAGATGTTTGCTCCAGTTACGATTCCTAAGAGTGAAATCATTAACTTGTCTGAGCTGCCGTACCTAAAGAGGGCGATGAAAATAATACAGAAGACACAAAAGAGGTGCAGTGCAAATATTTCTGGATCTTCATTGTTTTTGTAGAAAACAGTGTTACCACATATATGTTATTTACCGGCCAGGAGGTCCGGATAGGGGAAAACTGTGCCCGAGTTCTTGAATATACGTTTTCAAGACCGAGGGCACAGTTTTTTCCTATCCGGACCGACTTATATAACTTTTTTTTTTCCCCGTATTTTTTTTACTTGTTTTGTAATCGTTTTGTTTTGTTGTTTAGCGGCAAACGGTACCGGACCGCGAGCGCGGGCAGATACTGACAAAATACCGGTCGCTCAAACAGCCAATCAGAACGCACGATTTGTATAGGAAATCGCACGATCTCGAGTACAATTTGGAAATTAATGGACACGAGTAATGTTTTCAAAGTTCTAGTAATTGCACGAGCCTTTAGGCGAGTGCAATTAAAGAACTTTCAAAACATTACGAGTGTCTATTAATTCCAAATTGTACGAGAAGATCGTGCGATTTTTTGTTTATAGTTCACTCAACAAAATTTCAGTAAAAAATGCGAAGCGACGCCGTTCATCTTTGTCTATTTGGCGGCCGATTAATAGTCCATCGCACAACTGAAATGCATAAAAAAGATTAGTTCTTACGGCTTTGAAATTTTGGTTATGTTTTTTAAGTGCAAAATGATAGAAAATAATTGTTTTGACATTGTTTTGGCCGTGTTGCCATAGCGACTTAATTCGGTACTCCTACGGAGTACAATTAACGCTATAATTGTACTCCTCTCCACCATTCAGAGTCGAGTAATTTTGTTGAGTGTACTATAAGTATAGGATACCGGACCGGAAAAAAATTAAGTAGTAGTTTAATTCGTCTGGATTTTTTTTCCCTTTTTTTTTTTTTTTTTTTTTTTTTTTTTTTTTTTTTTTTTTTTTTTTTTTTACTTTCAGAGTCGTGGCCAATTATATGGTATGGTACGTGATACGGGGAGAAATTGCGTGGCTTTCAAAGCCGTTCAGGGACGTGCAGCTTAAGTACGAGAACGAAACAAAGGGTACTAAATCTGAGCAAGAGCGATCTAGAAAGTGTGTTGACTCAACGTTTAAATCTTTCAATGATTTAATATCAGCTGCATATATCCAGGAGCATCATGATCAACTTAAAGGCCCAAAAATCATGGTAAGTTATTATGATTTAAATATATTACGCAGGACAATTTTAAACTCGAAGATATCGGGGAAGAGACTAGTGGGTTCCGTCCCAGAACTTACCTTTAACCAGCAGGGAGAAGGTGTGTCTCTATAGGGAAATGGCAGGAGCAGTGTGGTTTGCATTCGCGACGATACGTTCCAGCTCTATGATTTTCAAAATGAAGTAGAGTTTGAAGACGGATAGATGACGGATATAAAAAGTCAGAGCAATTATATATCAACGATTTTCTGCGGTCTTGATTTCGCAATCAACACGCATTATTCTACTGATACCTTAGAGAAAATGAATCCTTTCGTGACGATACTTCTACCACTAATATTACTAATACTAAGGTGTTGCTTTAGCATTTGATGAATGCATTTTTGACTAATTTGGCAAAAGAATTAACCAGTTGTAGAATCTGAACCGAACTCGAAATTACTCAACAAGTATTCCAAAAAGTATCTGTAAATCTCTTAAAGGATTTAGAAAAAGATATCACTAAAATGTATGAAATACTCTCTTTTGAGTAAAATTGATTTTTCAATTTCGAAAATATAATATCAATTTTAACTCTTTATTCAAAAGATGTTATATATATATACATGACAGTATTGACAGTCATTAAATGAAACAAACAATAAATAAAGCGATTTTTCTGTTTTGCATATCATTAAATATACTGAATAAATTAGATATATGTATAAATGTATACTACAACGTTTCTGCAATCGAGTGTATATATATATATATATATATATATCGCAATGCATTCTGGGATACTAGTGGATCCGCCTAATGCCAAGAAGAAGATAAAACGAGCTAGACAGACCAGAGATCTCACAATGACCATTATAATAATACATATTATCCTGTATATGTTTCCAGTAGCTAATTTTAGAATTGGTTTTGAAACGACTCTAAGATATTTGTTGTTTTTATAATAATAATGATGATTTTATATAGCGCCTTTTCCTAAAGTCCAAAAGCGCTTTACAAATATATTACAGTTGTCTATAAATATTTTTACTTTTTATTTTATTTTTATATTTTACTATTTTATTTTGTACCTATATTAACTGACTCGTTTTTAGCCCTAATTATAATATTTCATGTATAAAGGCAAACGAAATAGCGAACGAAGCGATTGAAGCGTTGAAACAAAACGTCAACTCCCTGACCTGGTTGGACGGTACTACTCGAAGTGGAGTATTTCAAAAGGTAGGTTGACAATAAATTAAAGTGCATATCAAGAAAAAAAGCTTTTAAAAAATCACTTATATATGAACAGTGTAGTAGTATGGTTGCAGTATTTTTGTATGTGGTCTTCTCTCTTCAGAGATATAAACATTTGAAATATGTGTTACACAAAGCAGTGTTACACAAAACAGTTTAATATACAGTCAATTCAAAAAATGTTGTCGTCGACCAACTCTAGCCTACGCGACTGGACCGAAAGGAACTCTGGGTAGTAATCATTGAAGCCGTTGTTGACTCCACAATTTTATCTGACTAGTTATGCCTGGTTTACAGCACCAACCTTCGTAGGCGAGCGGGAAGTGTTGAAGGAGACGTTTTTTTAATGCCTTCATATTTTCGGAATTGTGAACTGAATCATAACTACTTTGTTTTTCTTTCCCTAACCCCAAAGACATGCATTTGATGGATTGTTTCTCGCCATTATTATCTTATTACTAGCGGGAACAATTAATTCAGAACGAATATTTAACCGCTTCAGTGGTTTTTAACCATATTCCTTTCGGTCCAGTCGCGTAGGCTTGAGCCGGTCGACTACAACATTTTTTGAATTGACTCTATGTTTTTGCAGCGAAGTGACATTTCATTTATAAGGATGAGTTGCAAAACGAAAACAAAAACAAAATTATACTTTCCACAACAACATTTTTGTATAATAAATTAGTCTTGAATTTACGTCAGCTCATTTGCATATTGCCCTCTATGATGGCAGCAGCGCGCCTCTGTAACCTGTCTAGGTACTCTTTCCTAGTGTTCCTGCATCCATCCCAAACGCAAGAGCAATAATCAAAAAGTGGAAGTACCATAGAGTTATACAAAGTGATACGTGCATCAATTGATGACGATGTTTTAGAACTGAAATATATTTCCCATCTACAACTCGCCATGTTGTTGATGTCTCGTCCTCTTTGCTGTCTTTGTTAGTTAGCCGTGCCCTTCTTAGATTAGTCCATAGGTTGCCTCAGGATTTGATCTGGGAGATATCCGTGCCCGGGCATAGATCAGCCCAGAGGTTGTTTCAGGATTTGATCTGTGAGTTAGCCGTGCCCTGACTTAGATCAGTTTATAGGTTGTGTTGAGAGTTAGTTAGTCTTCCCTTGACCTAGATCAGCCCATTATATTGTATCAGGGCTCAATCTGTAAATTAACTATAACCTTTTAGCTTAGAGGTTGTTCCAGGGTCCTTTTCTTCTTTTTCTTCTGTTTTGCCATTTAACAGCTTGCTGGCTTGAGTAAAAATGTCGGCTATCCGGATTACATGTTGGACAGTGCAAAAATGGCCACATTATTGGAAAAGTACAAAGGCGTAAGTACAAATTTGTGTTCTTATAACGTATTATCGATCAAAGCCCAAGTAGAGACGTCACCTTCTATTTTCCAGTTGAACCTTCAAACTGACGCATATTTCAAAAACAAGGCGTCCATCTCAAAGCAGTTAAAGCAGCATCTGTTAAAAACCATCAGAAAGCCAAAAGAGGATGCAATGTAAGTACTGAAGATATAGATAACGCGTGCATGTGCTGTGTGCAGTTATAAAGCATGTGGGGTTGGTAGGACACTGGAGAAGTGTTAGGAGAAGCACGACTTATAGCAGAGTGCTTCTCGACACTTTTCAAGTGTTCTGCCAATCCCCAAGTGCTTTATAACTCCACACAGCACAGCAAGCAAGTTTTTTTAATTTCTTTTCTAAAATACAAATTACAATAACCGTTATTTTAGACAGCAATGACGCAACTAAAAATGCGTGCGCGGGCTGTGTTCTTTCATAAAGCGCGCGCTCCCAACCAACCAGAACGCGAGATTTATAACAGTTATTTCATAAAAGAGTTTACTACAACATTAATTTCATTGCTGGGGAGAGGCTGTGCTAGCAACTGAGAGTCTATTTTTATTTTGTACTAATTGAGGGAAGGGGTAGCCCTGCCAATGTAGGGCGTCATATTGGTTGCGCATGCGCGGTGTAACTAAATCGTGCGGTCAAAATATTCCTCATGATTTACAATACTAACGTTTAAAAAAATGATTCTTAAATATTTATTCAAGTAAGTGCATAATTCTTGGGTTGTTTGATCAATATCAACAGATTCTATACAATACAATATACTTTATTAGATTCCCCAAGGAGATCTTTATACCTACAATTTCCAACGTTCCAAAGTATCGAAAATTACAATTTGAATTTAATTGGGTGGCATAGTGGTTTACTGCTCGGCTCTTGCCGCTGTGGTCCGGGTTCGAGTGGATCATATGTGAATTGAGTTTGTTTGATGTGTTGTTCTCTCCTATGCTACGAGGGTTTTCTCCGGGTTCTCTGGTTTCTTCCCTCCGTAAAAATCAACATGTGAGTTGAGTGTTGTATGTTGTAAATATAGAATGTTGTGGTGGAAGGAAGCTCACGGAAGAGCCCCGTGTATATGGCAGAAGATGATGGTAAAAAATATTTTATGAACTATAACTGCTACTGTATAAGTCAATATCTAATGCTTAATAATACAGAGATTTACTTTGCTTTTGTTTTATTTCAGATGGTTAATTTCTCCTCTCAGAGCAAATGCCATTTACAATGTATTAAAACATAGAATGAGTAAGTAACATCACACGTATTTCGGAATGTTTCCATGTAATAAGTGTAGTAACAAATTGCTAATAGCACAGCTGTCAACAAAAAAAAAAAAACAACAACAACAGCGAACTGACAACTGAGAATTTTGATTTTTTTTTATTTATTTTATTTGTGATAGTTTAAAGTGCAGCTAGCCCCAGATAAAATAGTTTTAACTTTAAAAAGCTTACGGAAAGGAATAAAAGTATTTAATGAAAAATTATATTAGCATAAAAAATCTTCCTTTTTTTTTATATATTTTAACTAACACATTTGGTTTTGTCGTTCAGGGCTTCGCAAAGTTGACTAGTTTAGTAATCTAATAAAAATGTCGGCTATGGAAAAAAACTTTGTCGAAGAATTTTTCAAGAACAAAACTAGCCCCCGGGGTGGCTGGTTGTGTGTTGTGTACATGTGACGAAGATGATTTTTAAGTGGGAGTGCAGTAAGGTTGAAAACTCGTGCAAAGTAAACGATGTAGCGCATTTCGATTTGATTTTTTCACTTCATATTATGATTTTCATCGTGGGGGCCATTATTTTCTTCTCAAATAAAAGTTAAGCGATTAGTGAAGATTTTCCTGCTTTCAGTTATTTTCACCTCACAATTTTGTCTAAATTGGGCTCCCCGTGCTTATTGGGAGCTTATTAAACATAGATTTTCCTAACAACTGACAGAAGGCCTAAAACTTGAAAACAGCTGGCATGTGGACCCTTCCCCATGCAGACTCTACTCATAATTAATATTGGAATATCTACTGATTCTATTCTTTTTTTTTTTTTT